GGGGGGGGGGGGAGTTTTTGGGGAGGAGGGGGGCATTTTGTATTTTTTGTTGTTGGAATAGAAGCACACAGAGACTGCTGTGAGATGGTTGTGGTTGCCATGCTTCTCCCCCTGCCAGCCTTGGAGGGAGGGCTGAGTTCACTCTTCAGGATCAGAGCTGCTATGTTAACCCTCCCTTGCAGGGTCTCCTAAAGTCAGCATGCAGCCATGACTGGAAAAATCTTTTATTCTGCCTTCCCAAAACAAGGTGCTTATCTTATTTGGGGCCATGTGATAATAGAGAGTGCCTTGGAGTTGTCATAATAAAGCTCAGGTTTGGTGTGAGGCAAATTAGCTCATAATATTTTAAAGTACTGTTTAAAGTAATTGCATGCAGGTGAAAATGTTTTGTTGTATTATGGATTATTTTGTATGGATTCAAAGCAAGCATTTGCTAAAAGCTCAAAGCTTCAGTTGTTGGGAATTCCACTGCTTTAAAGTTATTGTTCATAACTTCAGAATTTCTGAACTGGTTTCCTTCAAATTTTGGCTAGGTTTATAGATCTTACTGAGTGTTAAAATTAAACTATGGGCAATGCATGCTGTAGATTTTTATGAATCTGTAGTGGTTTAAGAAATTGCATGCCTGTCTTGTGGAATGTTCATCAACAAACAATTTTAATATAAAAGCCAGCATCTTAAAGCGTAAGCATAGGGGACTGAGCTTTCAAACTCATGTTTATTTCCAGACTTGGCTGGCTGACTCTTTCAACTTGAACATTACATTAAAATATTATAGGTTGTATTATTTAACTATTGTAGTATATTAACATTGCAATGTGCATTCTCTGCTCCTTTTATGCATATGATGTAATATTTATTAGAAAGAAATCTACATCTTCATCTTTCTGTAGAATGGCCTATCTAGTGATACTATGGCTGAAATGTTAAAAGTCTTAGTTAAGCATTTTCTTAGACACTTTGTAAACAGACAATAAACCAGTTGTCTCTATATTCATTATTCCAAGTTACCCTCTCTTTTTTACTTACCTGGTAAATTTCTTGAAATCCTCCATTTTGAAATTGCTCCATATACATTGAACTTTTAGTAGAGTTGGAAGAGGAAATCTGAGAGAGAGCGTAAACAAATTTCATAAGCAAGAAACAATAGTTTTGGAGCTCTTGTCTACAGTGTCGATCTAGAAATGTTGGAAAAGTTGCTTGAGCTTATTTTCCCCTTTAGCGTTGACTAAATATACATGATTTTACAATTTGAATGGACACGTAATAGACGATACACTTTTTACAGTTGCAAAGTATAGGATATTTTTATACTATGTTTTCTAGTATTAAGCAATAAAACAGTACCCGAGGTGTTTTAATAAAACAGGTAAGTTTGAGTGAATATTATTTATGATTAATATATCAGATGCTGAAAAGAATATTTGTAAAAAATTATGCAATTAATAGGTATGTGGACTAAGAAACTCTCCAATTCCTCTTAACAGGCTGAAGAATAATGGCTGCCTTCAACAAACTGATTATTGGTATTGCTGTTACTAGTTTCACCATTTTCCAACTTCTGTTCCATGTTTTAAGTGCTTGGGCATCAGCACGGATAACTCCTGGTTTTAATAGTCTTAACCAAAAAAGGAAGATTGAATGGAATTCAAGGTAAAGTATCTAGCACAAAATACAAATGATGAACTAATGAATACATTTTTAAGGCCCCTATATAATGGAATATAAGTGAAGATGTGGAAAAAAAAAATGATTGTACATATTTGAGAAGTTCTGTACCAAGTTAAAGTACTGGGTTTAGAGTTTGGGTTTACCAAGGATTCCCCCAAGGGAGCCACTTGCTCGGGACTCTAAGCCTTGCCTTGTTTCTCTGAGTACTCCTGAAGGCTAGCCAAGGCACAGCTTCTAGTGGTATGAGGCGTGGCTTCTTTCTCTTCCAAGACCCCAGCCTTTTGATCCCTGATCCTGCTTGGTTACCTGTGGCTCTCATTCAAGGGGTTACCTTCCTGGTCATCTGATAGAGGGACTTTACCTCTTCAAAGGGAAGGATGCACCCCAAAGTGCCAAGCAGCAAAGCAGATAACTATTATTTATTTATTTTTTAACAAAGGCACTTATTGGGCAATTGCAGTCCAGCAAACAGAGGTCTTTCTGCCCTCCAAAGGGGTAAGCAGTCCCGCTGTCCCCTGTCTAGCTTGTGCAGTTGTAAGCACCCCAGAGTTAACTCATCTGTTCTTTCTCCCTTGCTCTTAAGCCAGCACCTCCATACCCTCCCCTTTTCAGGCTGGCTGTTCTCTGTTGTTTTCCATAACCCACCTTAGTCTTTCCCTCTGGTCTCCAGGTTTAGAGCCAGCATCCATTCCAGTGTTCGTTGCTTGGAGTCCACTGGATGTGGCAACAAGGCTGTTTATCTCTTTGTTGCCGAGTGCTCCATTGGCAAAATCTTGTTTCTTCTAGACTAGTAGGCAGCTCTACATCTTTGTAAGGACCCTATTAGCTCCTCTTTAACCATGTATAGGCTAGTCGGGGAATGTGGGACATGCAACATTATTACATAACAAATTCATTTAAACCAGAAATATAACAATAAAACCAGAGTCTGTCACAAGACATGCAATTATAAACACTGCTATAGGTGAAATCGGAGGTAGTGGCAAGGGCAGGCACTGTGGGGGGTCTGGTGCCAGGGCGTACATACAGTGGGGAAGCTAGTAGTGGGGGTTACAGGTACTAAGAGAGGACAGGTCCTGGTGCACACAGGCGTGGGAGGGGGTTGGAAGTGGGCATCGGGGGAGGCAAATGGGCCCAGGGTGCAGGGGAAGGTGGTAGGCTGTTTGACACCTTCCCCCTTACTGCCTGCCTCCCCTGCTGCTGGCTCCCCTACCACTGAAGTGCGGGGGGGAGGGGAACGGGGATGGACAAAGACAGATTTCCAATAATTGGATTCTATATGAGAAATTATAACATTTATGAATTTGTCTAGAATCTAGTTATTGTGGGAGGGTTGTCTTAAATTCAGAGTTGTTCTGGATTTGTGTAAGGTACAGTAAACTAGTTGCTAGATTGTTTTGTCTTGCATAGACACTACTATGCAAAAGGCAGCTTTAGACTCCATATTTGACCAACCTCAATAGATAAGAGAGGTGTTGTAATCAGTTGCACAAGACATTTCAAAGGTGAGAAATAGGGCTCGGCCATGGATAGATGACAGGAGATTATGTGTGTGGAGCAGGAAAAAAGGTGGTGGGTGGGGGTGGTGGGACAGACATGGCACAAGCACAACTTCCAGCTACTGCTCAGCTGCAGCATGACAAAGCCCTGCAGCTCTGTGGGCCAGATCCAGTGGCTCCACTGGCCAGATCCAGCATATAGGGCATATGTTGCTGACAAATAACATAGTGGCATTATAACACTCTCTTATGTGTGACTCTTTATCCTTGCGCTAAGTTGCAAACCCACAATACAATAATTATTGCAAAAGTGATGATTGACACACTTCTTATTTGCAACACTTTTAATATTGGGATTTGCCTTTTAATGGGCCTTGTGAGCAACACTTATTTTAATAAATATGATCGTGGAACATAGGGTTTTAGAGCCCCTTCTTGGAGTACACTTCTGTAATAAAAATAAAGAAAAATAGGAGCTGCTGTGTCGCACAAGCTTGTTTGACGTGAAATGAATTCATACAGCACACTTTTGCTTGTGTGACCTGCTGTAGTTCTAAAATGTATTTAAAGAATGTTACTAAGACACTTCTACCAATAGTGTATAGCTATTTACAAAGCCAACTATTAAAATATGAAGCTTTGGGTAACAGCCATTTCTAAAAGAAACTGATGTGTGCAGTCTTAGTTTATTTTAGAAACTAAAGATTTACATTTTTGGAAACAAGGTTTGTGGGTTTTTTTGGCAATGTCTTCTGTTGAACCAACTGTATAGTTAGGAGAGATGTTAGACAGGCTTTCAGACATAAAGTGCCCCTCCATGGGCTAGGGACAGAAATATACCAATTTATGTGCAAAGTGATCAGGAAGTGGTTCAAATTTCTAACACAATAGAAGTTCAGTGCATATAAACTGCTTTCAGAAAAATTGGATGGATATAGTGTTTGTTTAAACTTCTGTCCCAGCTCCCTTCCAGATCTGTTAACTTGGAGTGCCCCAGCATCCCAGAGAGAGTGAGCTAGCTTTTTGGCCCAAGATGCCTGCTCCAGCTGAGCAGGGAGGTGTGCTCTGGTGCCCCCTGGCTTCTGGCCTAGGCCACTGCAGGTATGTGGCTGCATTTCTGGAATCAAAAGTGAATGTCTGTTCACTTGCTTGTTGGTTCAATCTATGCATCTTAGACTAACCTGTGAAGATTGAATTGATTCAATCTTGGGCTTTTTCTGAGTGTCCTGGAAAGGGTTCTGCCACTGGTAGATGTGAACCCCACCCCTCAGCACTTTACTAGGAGAGAAAACGTGTCAGTTTGACCTGGCTCCCCAGCATCTGTATAGATTGGGTGCTTCAGCAGGACTTTTTGGTGCTTTTATCTAATAGCTGATTCAATCAGCTATTCGATAAAAGTGCCAAAAAGCCCCACTGAAGCGCATGTTGTATAAAGAGGGGACACACCAAGCTGAAAGTAAGGTGCTTCCTCCACCCCCCACCTCTGTAAGCAGTCTTTGTGTCTGAAAGCTTGTCTAACGCCTCTCCTAGCTATACGGTTGGTCCAGTAAAAGATATCACCAATCTTGCATATTTTCTGGATCATCACAGCTATATAGACATTCCAACCCTAATTTAAGACCCATTTTGCCATTTATGGTTTTGACAGTTTTTTTTTTTAGCATTC